GATTGTTTGTCATTCATCAGCAGATCGATAATCATATGGACTGGTAATTTGACGAGTATCATCACGTCTGGGCTCATTGCAATTTGGTATCGGAGCAGATCTTCCAATCTTGTGACAGGGACGACAACGACAAGTGGTGGCATCTACATTGAAGAGGCTGACGTGGAGAAGACAGCGCACGTCAGATTATTGACATGGCATTGACGTGGCCTTGGTACACATGTCCGATGCTGACATGTCATTGACGTGGCATTGATGTGGCCTTGGTACACATGTCCGATGCTGATGCGGCATTGACGTGGCATTGTAACGCTGACGTGGCCGTTGGATGATAGCAGATTGATGATGTGGCATTGCTGACTCACCATTCGGTAAGATAGCAGGCTGATGTGGCAGTGTCGGATTTCCGCTACCTGGCTTACGTGGCACGTTGGTACTGCTCCTGACGTGTATTCCCTCGATGATGCTTGGTGCGAACCTGGCAGACAGAAGTGCTGTTGAGTTGGCACTCCAGGGGATACACGTGGCAGGTTGGAACTTCGACTTCGGGGCGGGCTGGTACTTTGATTTCAGCATACATTGCTGACGTGCACCCCATTGATGATATTGATTGACCTGCTGACCTGGCATACTCATCAAGTTGCTGAGTTGGCAGGCCAGGGGTGACACGTGGCAGGCACGATCGTGCCTAAGTGAGGACAGCATTCTGATGACTGAAGCGGCACGGCAAGAGGACTGACGTGGCTGTGGTGCCGAACGTCAGATTGTGTGCTGGTCACACAGGAAAAAGAAGGACGAAACAGCAAGAAGGGAAAAACGCCAACTATTGATTGATTTTTGTTGGCGGACTTACCTGTTGTCTGGCTGTGTTGCGTACCTGTGTACTCACTTGTGTTTGTTGATGATCATGCTGGCCTGGAGTTGCGGTACCTGAGATAGAGTAGGATGTCATCACATTGAAAACAGAACAGCAAATAGAATTAGAAAACTTTTGTTCCTTATTATTATTCTTTTGACTCAGATAAAGTGTCGGATAGGTGACCGTGAAATTACTGTCTTTTGCAGTAGAACAGCGTGCTGATTCAGGTGACCGTGAATTATTGTTTATTTTGCGATAAATAATCTGGCCAACGAATTTTCGTGTTTCTGTTCTCTCAAAATGTCTTACTTCTGGAAATGTCTGCAACAGTCTATCTTGATGAGATTCCTGACTACTTTCCTGTTTTCTTTTCCGATCACACTTTCGGTTGGGGAAGGACCGTCTGAACTCAGGACAAGGGGACAGGCTGACAGAAAGAGAGTGGAACTGTTAGCCTTGTGGAATCAGTTCCTGGTGGAGGTACAACTGTCTAGACCAGATGCCGAGCAACACATCCGTGATAATTTCGATCTTCAGGGGGTTGAAGACCGCCTGAAGAAGTCTATCACGGCTGTGGAGGTTGTGGCAGCCGGTACAGAGGCCTCCAAACTGATTGCTCAGGGGCGACAGGCTCTAGACCAGTTTGCTTTAAAGCAATCGGAAGAGATCATGGAAGCTACTCGCAAGGGGGAAGTAAAAACAGGAGTAAGTGAAGAATCGATTGATTCTAATATCCAGCAGCTAAGAGAGGTCTTGGCTGCAGAAGAACGAAAGAAAGAAGAAGTATCTCGAAGAAGAGAACAGGAACAATGAAGAGGACAAAGAGTTAAAGAGATCAGGCAAGTAATAGGAACAGAAGTCGGTGAACAGACTGACATGTCACAAACGTTGGCTCATATTGTGACATACCTTACCTTTCTAGAAGAAAAGATTGATAGACAGCAAAATCAGTTGGATGAAATCGCTGTTGGATTGAGAACAATTGCTAATATTGTGAAAGGTAAGAATCAGATTCAGGGAGAAGAAGAACAAGAAGAGAAGAA